TAACTCTATTTTAGACGGGGTAGGGAAAGACAGCCGACACGCGCTATGACGTCATATTAATGGATTGTCGACGTGACGTCATTTTATTGTTTCCGTGATGTCATACAATTGTTGTGAATGGGGAACCATCAGTCTCAACCCTAGGGCTTCGGGGTTTGCTGGAAGAATGAGATCGATGTTTATTTCGACTGGAATTTGTTTATTTGTATGTATATGAGAAAATTAATCAAACATGGGTCTGTTCCGTGGATAGGGATATCTCAACCCGATAGGAAGAGTTTGGCTGGTCAGCACTCGGCAAGCCTCGTGCTGACTAGCCAAACTCTTACACTCGGGTTGAGATTAATAGAATCTCTCACCCCTTGAAAAGTTTGGCAACTTAAGAATCTTTTCCCGAGGGTTGAGATTCCCCGATCTTACCAGCAAGGAGTGAATGATTCTTTTTCTCTTTCCCTGTTCTCCTATTTTGTATCATATTCACAATGGAATGATAACGTTACATGCTCAATTCAGGGTTGACGTGACGTTGATAGATTGTTGTCGTGACGTCATTGTATTGTGAAAGTGACGTCATACCATTGTTATGAATAGGGGAATCCCCCCGTCTCAACCCTGGGGTGAGACTAATAGAATCTATCGCTACTGGTTGTGTGAGATAGAGAAATCTCAACCCGAGGACTAAGATTTTTTGTCCAGAACGAGGCTTGCCGAGTTCTGGACAAAAAATCTTAGTTCGAGGGTTGAGATTTCTCTTTCTTACACAACCAGTAGCGATTGATTATTTTTCTCCCATATCTAACAGTATTTTAATGTGAAATAAAGGTAAACATGGACCCAAAACACATACAGGCAATATGTTGATGGATTGTTGACGTGACGTCATTGTATTGTTGCAGTGACGTCATACCATTGTTATAAATAGGGGAATCCCCCCCGTCTCAACCCTAGGGCGGAGACAGATAAATCTAGCACCGGCGAAACGGGAGATAAATCTGTCAGGTGTGGGAGAAAAGGAGTTCCTTTACCCTAGACAGGTGTATCCGCATTTTTACCGGTGTGAGATTTCCTTGTCTCATCCTAGGGTTGAGACGGGGGGATTCCCCTATTCCTAACAATGGCATGACGTCACTTAAACAATACAATGACGTCACGTCAACAATCCATCAACGTCACGTCAACCCTGAATTTAGCATGTAACGTTATCATTACATTGTGCATATGCTACACAATGAAAGAACAGGGTAAGAGAAAAAGAATCATTCACCCCCTTGTGGGTGAGATAGTGGAATCTCAACACTCGGGGAAAGATTCTTTAGTTGCCAAACACTCGACAAAGCCTCGTGTCTGGCAACTTAAGAATCATCCCCCTCGGGTTGAGCTTCTCCTATCTCACCCCCAAGGGGATGAAAGATTCTATTAATCTCACACCGGTAAAAGTGCGGATACACCTGTTCAGTCATCTGTTTCGACCTGTTCACTGCCATACCTCATACTAAAATACTGCCATACTTCATATCAAAATGAAGGAGCGCCTTCGTTCTCTTATTATAAGAGGTTTTTTTTTATGAATAGCACGGCAATAAGTAAATTATCTAAGAGCATGTTTTGTGAAAAACACAACAAAGAGCAAACAATATACAGGACGAAATTGTGAGAATAATTAAGTAACTGATTAACATACTGTAGGCATTCATTTGGGAACAAACTGTGCCCCTCTTTTTGGTCGATTTGTTTTTGCGTTTATATGAAGCTGAATTTATTGATGGGTTTTTTAAGGACTGGTAATAAAAAAACAAGCAAAATCCCACGCCTTTAGGTCGGGGTCGAGAAAAGAATACATATGTTGTTACCCACTGCATATATCCTAAGAGCCGACTTATGAGGGAACCCCCTGCAAAATTGTAGATTTGCTCGTGTTTCTTGGCCACACCTAACTTTTGGCTTTAATGTTGAACGTTGCCCTGGTGAGGAAGGCAATGGGTTCTGTCTCCAGGCCGGAACATACCAAAGTCCTTAAAGATGGTAGTTGTTATTCCCTGCTTAATGTTCATCATTTAGGATAATGGCAACAATTGGTTCACCCGTTGTCAGTAAAATGTGACCGGGCGAAATTCTGTCCTGGGTGCCTTCGGCATGGTATTTCAGTGAGATAGTACTATAAAGTCGGAATCAGATCCGCGCTATTACACATATGCAAATACAACAACATACCCTGCCATCTGCACACACGTACGCAGGCACGCATAAACAAAACACAGGCAGGCACTTCCTTAATTGACATAAGCTGTTGATTGGACGTTAAACAAAATACACCAAAACCAAACCTTTGGTTTCACATAAAGATATATCGGAGATGTGCTGGCTTAAATTAACAAGAAATATATTGACCACATCGATTGTATATTCCCTTGTGAGTTTGAATTCAAGGACACTACATACTTCTACTTCAGTTGCTATCCTCGATATTTACTTACAACGCGATCTACAGGGACGCTTGCTTCTAAGCTGTACGATAAGCGGGACGATTTCGAAATTCCGATCGTGAAATTTCCCTTTCTTGATAGTAACATCCCTGATCCTCTATCTACGGTGTTTACATGTCACAGCTGATTTGGTCTTAAAGAGCTTGTTCGGAATATCAAATAAATGAATTCCGTGAGAGATGTCCATTGCTGACGAAGATGCAGGTCGAGAAAGATAATGGACAAGTGGCATGACCACCATCTTGATCACTTTTGAAAATATGTTAAGCATGAAATGAAAGTTGATATTTTTTATTATGCTCATCGGTGAGACTTGTTGTTTTGTTGTGACTAACTGAGTTCTCGATCGGAGGACGTAACATTAAATTTGGATTTGACCTAGAGTTACATGGCGAGATTATCGATAATGTAGAAGACGCATACTTCTCCGGAACACCTGGTCTTATTCTACTATTACTAACAGCATGTAATGGCGTCTAATAAGGGGTTTCTCGATCTTCTAATCATAAAGGAATGTTTCACACATGTTCAGAAGTAATAACTTCATGCAAATGACAGATCAAAATAAGTCGGTGTAATAAACAAAGCATGGGCGTGGTTGTAGTTTATGTTTCAATATTCTTTTATGGACACATAATCAAATTGTTTACATGTGCAGAGATGTGATATTTCTTGATGAATTTCAATGAAACTCGCTGGTGGCGGCCATCTCAGATTTCGCCATTTTGAGGCATTATCTGCATTGTTTGAGCTTGGTTCACCAACACCCGATACCCTTAAACAATAGTTTACAATAAATTAACACGACGAAACATTGACACTTTAAATAAGCACATTTACAGAACACTTGCCTGATCTAATTGCATATTGTATAAAAACACCAAAACGTTTTTATAAGTTTATTTATTATAGTTTTGAATGTCTTTACATGCTTCTAATGAACTATGGAAGTATATTTTTCATGGTAATAGAGAGAGAAAGAATTACCCTGGGCAGATGATGGTATGGGATGTTTTATTTTATTTATATAACACACTAAATAGCCTACATGTAGGTAATAAAGCATCAATAATACAGTTTGTAAATTGTTATATTTCACTTTTGTATGATGCGGGGATCATGGACGGATATATTTCATTTGATTGACACTTATATAACAGGTTTATGATGCGCAGTTATACAGCGGACATATGCTATCTAATTTACTTTAACACCATTAGATCTATTGAAGAAATTAGTGATAACAGCATATTTGATTTCCCGACGGCAAAGTTGATGCACAGTCATTGTGAAGCATTAAACAGGTAGTTTTGATCACGTACGGCCACTCTATAAACACAATCAACAGGTTTCAGGGGAAATATTTATCCCATCTGGCACAAACATTACGCCATGCAAAGCGAACGGAATTTCAGGATTTATAAATTAGTTTTCTTGATTGCGTTGATGCTCATAACAAAACAAAAAATAGCTTTACATGTACTGTAGCTCTTCATAATTTAGAAAACATTAATGAAAGACCATATATATTCTGGTGTTTTCCTTCTATAATTACCCGTGTCTAAGCAAACATTGAAGATAGAGTTTACTTTCAGGGAAATATGCTTAAACAAGTCAACATACAATGACGAAACCAACAACAGTATCAACCAAGTAGGCCTACTAGTAACACATTCAAACGATTTGTATTTAGAATCTGTAAGATCTTGAGGAGAAACCCGTTCACAACTCTCTAGGGAACGAACCATATAAATCCAATCCTGACTTCGTAATCTTTTTGTGAAAATGATATAACTATCCAGAAATCGTGATCCCGTTCCACAAAACATGCTTATGAAAAACAAATCAACTGTGACATGTCAAACATTTCTATGACGTCAAGAGAATAATCAGAATTAGATATGACGTCACAATCAGCTCTATTGCAAGTCTGACAACCAAATAATCACTTCGAGGGTCAGAGATTTCTCTATCAAACCCTCAAGGTGGGTAAAGACTTCATTAATCATCCTCGTGAGTGGCTGGTTCACCAATGATTGTGCAATGGTAGGTTTTGCCTACATTAGTATAACAAAGACATGATGAACATTTTCTGTATTTTTCATGCTCTTTATGATACAAAACCTCCACAATCAACAGGTTGAAATCATTAATATCATCATCGGTTGATATATGACCTTTTGAATACACCAAATTTCCAAAATTTTAATTATGCAAAATAAAATATCGTACACGAAACCTGTCGTGACAATTATTGCTGTAACGGTAGCATTTCTACTAATGGAAATTAGTACACACTGCAGCAGATCGGGTGGTGTTTACCTTGAGGGCTTTAGACCTGTCAACAGGGTGGTCAATAGATATACATAAAGTGATTTGTTAATGTATATTTCCGACTAATATTATTTATATTTACACAACAATCATAATTTTGACGTCATTGTCTACTCACTATTGTCCCACTACCTGTGTATATAGCCGGACGGTACACGAGGCCTATATAACTGTCCACAGATACACGAGTTCGTTACAGGCAGTAAAAAGACCTAAACACCATGATGTCGTTAGCCCTGTTCCTGGCCACCTTGCTTGCTGTTCTGGGACTAGCGCCTGGTCAAGTCGTACGGGGGACCTGTCCCACTGTGGATACACAACCTGACTTTAACATCACTCAAGTAAGCATTAAATTTCGTATGAAGACCATTTACTTATTCGCATTGAAATTTAAAATTGTTAAGTGAGTTTATGTTGCATTCTACACAAATTTTGATTCGTGGTTTCATTTCATCCATTTTGGATACGTGTTTGCGTTGCCATTATGTCCTGGGTGGTAAGGGTGGACGTAGGACACGCCTGTGAGTGCACCTATACATTTAGTAATGTATAGTGTACGCCGGAGCTGGATTGCGCTTCACAATAAGCTAATTTGTATGGCAAGCCAACTTAACATTTATTCAAGGAGCAATGTCGATCCTGTATTTCAAAAAAAATATAAGATATCTTATATAGCATATGAGATATCTTATATACTATATAAGATATCTTATATACTATATGAGATATCTTATATAATATATAAGATATCTTATATCCTATATGAGATATCTCATATAGAAATTAATGAGATATCTTATATAATATATAAGATATCTTATATCGCATATAAAATATCTCATTTAATTTTCTATATAAGATATCTCATAAAATATATAAAATATCTCATATAGCTATATAAGATATCTTATATAATTGAAATCTCGTTGCTATATAAGATATCTGATATAGAATGAGATTTCGTGGCATTAAAAACCAGAAACTAATTTCTCCCTCGAGAATCATTCGGAGCACATTCAGGATTGCATTGGGCGCAATGGCGGAGAGGGATGGTACGGATGCTGTATTTTCCCTAGGCCTAGCTCGCCTTGTCTCTCTTATAGCGGCCAAAGCAGAGGCTGCCATTTCCCGCACTATTGAAGTGGGCTCAGACATAATGGCGGCGACAGGAACACGTGTTGTTACAACAAGCCTACTGTCCCTACGTAGATCCTCGAGATATTCCGGACGGGGAGACTTCATTTTCGACATTTTGTTAAAATCTCGTTCCTAGACTTTAATTATATAAGATATCTTATATAGCTATATGAGATATCTTATATGTTATATAAAATATCTTATATAGAAAATTAAATGCGATATCTTATATACGATATAAGATATCTTATATATCATCTCATTTAATTTCTATATAAGATATCTCATATAGTATATAAGATATCTCAAATACTATATAAGATATCTCATATACTATATGATATATCTTATATACGATATAAGATATCTCATATGCTATATAAGATATCTTATATAATTCGATGAAATACAGGATCGACATTGCTCCTTGAATAAATGTTGGCTTGCCATAAATTCGTCTTATAGGACTCAAAGGTGATGCTATAGTGGCTAGAAAGGCGGAACTCCATATATATCTAAAATACTGTTGAAACAGAAGGTAGGGCAAAATGCTTTCATTACACGAAAACAATAGAGGATTAACTTTAAATATCTACATCAGGTTGTAATATGTATCGTACTGTACATTCGCGGCGCAAGTTTCATTTCAAGTAACATCGATTAATTATCATTATCAAACGTTATAACTCTACATTAAAGGGCAGCTTTACGATACAGTACATCGTATAATATAGTAGTGAAAGTGACGCAAATATATCTCATTTGCAGTCAAGACAGATGTGTGTATGATGATATTGTTCTGCTAAATATGATAAAACATATGTCCTCTGAATTGATATTTTACACACCATTACAGCCATAAGCTTTTCGTTGCTGGAGTTTGAGGAAATTAATTCACTTTTGGTTTAAACTTTGTTTTATTCAAATTTTGTTTGACAATACATCGAAATACATGTTTTATAAAAGAGAAAAGGAAACAAAAACAAGTGTCGTAATTCACTTTTAATCAGTGTAAATTAGTTTTGCAGTGAATTAGTTATTTTTGTCTCTAACTCCAGTTAAAATCAGTTGTAAAACATGTCCTCGATCTCTAGCACCTATGACATTTTTGCAGTACCTGGGTGACTGGGTTGAAGACAGAAAATTCACCACCCTGTTTGAACTCGGACTAACGTGTGTTAAGGCGAACTACGCATTATTGGACAATGGAAATATTCAAGTTACCAACAGCGGGATCAGACCATTGTAAGTATTATTTCTTGAGGGTTAATTAACTAGGGGCAAAAGGGTTGTAAGTATGATTTCCTATGGGTCTACTAGGTCCGGAATATTGTAAGTGTGACTTCATCTGGGTCTACTAGGTCCGGAATATTGTAAGTGTGATTTCCTGTGGCTCTACTAGGTCCGGAATATTGTAAGTGTGACTTGTTGTGGGGCTACTAGGTCCGGAATATTGTAAGTGTGACTTGTTGTGGGGCTACTAGGTCCGGAATATTGTAAGTGTGACTTGTTGTGGGGCTACTAGGTCCGGAATATTGTAAGTGTGACTTGTTGTGGGGCTACTAGGTCCGGAATATTGTAAGTGTGACTTCTTGTGGGTCTACTAGGTCCGTAATATTGTAAGTGTGACTTCATGTGGGTCTACTAGGTCCGGAATATTGTAAGTGTGATTTCCTGTGGGTCTTCTAGGTCCGGAATATTGTAAGTGTGACTTGCTGTGGTGTAACTAGGTCCGGAATATTGTAAGCGTGACTTGCTGTGGGTCTACTACCATTGTAAGTATTATTTCTTGAGGGTTAATTAACTAGGGGCAAAAGGGTTGTAAGTATGATTTCCTATGGGTCTACTAGGTCCGGAATATTGTAAGTGTGGTTTCCTGTGGGTCTACTTGGTCTGTAAAATTGTAAGTGTGATTTCCTGTGGGTCTACTAGGTCCGGAATATTGTAATTGTGACTTGCGGTGGGTCTACTAGGTCCGGAATATTGTAAGTGTGATTTCCTGTGGCTCTACTAGGTCCGGAATATTGTAAGTGTGACTTGTTGTGGGGCTACTAGGTCCGGAATATTGTAAGTGTGACTTGTTGTGGGGCTACTAGGTCCGGAATATTGTAAGTGTGACTTCATCTGTGTCTACTAGGTCCGGAATATTGTAAGTGTGATTTCCTGTGGCTCTACTAGGTCCGGAATATTGTAAGTGTGACTTGTTGTGGGGCTACTAGGTCCGGAATATTGTAAGTGTGACTTGTTGTGGGGCTACTAGGTCCGGAATATTGTAAGTGTGACTTCCTGTTGGTCTACTAGGTCCGGAATATTGTAAGTGTGACATCATCTGGGTCTACTAGGTCCGGAATATTGTAAGTGTGATTTCACTAGGTCCGTAAAATTGTAAGTGTGATTTCCTGTGGGTCTACTAGGTCCGGAATATTGTAATTGTGACTTGCGGTGGGTCTACTAGGTCCGGAATATTGTAAGTGTGATTTCCTGTGGCTCTACTAGGTCCGGAATATTGTAAGTGTGACTTGTTGTGGGGCTACTAGGTCCGGAATATTGTAAGTGTGACTTCATCTGTGTCTACTAGGTCCGGAATATTGTAAGTGTGATTTCCTGTGGCTCTACTAGGTCCGGAATATTGTAAGTGTGACTTCATCTGTGTCTACTAGGTCCGGAATATTGTAAGTGTGACTTGTTGTGGGGCTACTAGGTCCGGAATATTGTAAGTGTGACTTCATCTGTGTCTACTAGGTCCGGAATATTGTAAGTGTGATTTCCTGTGGGTCTACTATGTCCTTAATATTGTAAGTGTGACTTGTTGTGGGTCTACTAGGTCCGTAATATTGTAAGTGTGATTTCCTGTTGGTCTACTAGGTCCGGAATATCGTAAGTGTGACTTGCTGTGGGTCTACTAGGTCCGTAATGTTGTAAGTGTGACTTGCTATTGGTCTACTAGGTCTGAAATATCGTTAGTGTGACTTGCTGTGGGTCTACTAGGTCCGGAATATTGTAAGTGTGACTTGCTGTGGTGTAACTAGGTCCGGAATATTGTAAGCGTGACTTGCTGTGGGTCTACTAGGTCCGGAATATTGTAAGTGTGACTTGCTGTGGGTTAACTAGGTCCGGAATATTGTAAGCGTGACTTGCCGTGGGTCTACTAGGTCCTTTCCTATGGGTCTACTATGTCTGGAATATTGTAAGTGTGACTTGCTGTGGGTCTAATAGGTCCGGAATGTTGTAAGTGTGATTTCCTGTGGGTCTACTAGGTCCGGAATATTGTAAGTGTGACTAATAATTATAATTTACGTATTTTGGTATTTTGACTATCCCTGGGATAGCCTATCAAACACATAGAAAGCTTATTTCCAATTGGTTCCCCTAGTTGAAATTGTTTGTTTATATATCTTATTTTATTATGACCCCGCAACGAAGTTGGGGGGGGGGGGGGGGGGGGGGTATACTGTTATCACACTGTCTGTCTGCCTGCCTGTCTGTCGTCCACAGTAACTTGTATGGAAAACTCCTCATTAACTAACAGGTGGATTTCATTGAAACTTTGTATGAATGATTTTAATATTTCGGATTTCGACCATTTTTGGTAGGAGTTATGTCCCTTTGTGTGAAATACTTGTCCGTGCAACTCCTCCTTAACTTACAGGTGGATTTCATTGAAACTTTGCATAAATGATTGATATCTTATGTAGTTGTGCACCGGTATTCTAATTTGGGATTTCGACCCTTTTTGATGGAGTAATGCCCATTTGTGGCAAATTCTTGTCTGTGCAACTCCTCATAAACTAACAGGTGGATTTCAGTGAAACTTTGCATAAATGATCGGTAACTTAATTATGTAATTGTGCACCGACATTTTGATTTGGGATTTCGACTATTGTTGATGGAGTTATGCCCCTTTGTGCCAAATACTTGTCCTTACAACTCCTCCTTAACTAACAGGTGGATTGCATTGAAACTTTGCATGAATGATCGGTATCTTATGTAGTTTTGCACCGGCATTTTTATTTGGGATTTGGGACCATTTATGGTGGAGTTATGCCCCTTTGTTCGAATACTTGTTTTATTTAGATAAGCAAAAGCATCGGCCCCAAACCTCTTGGTTATACAGTGGAGAGCTTATCAAGCTGGTCCCTAGAAGTGGAGAAGATATCTGTATTACATCTTTATATTGGAGGAGATATCTGTATAACATCTATATATTGGAGGAGATATCTGTATAACATCTATAAATTGGAGGAGATATCTGTATTACATCTATATATTGGAGGAGATATCTGTATTACATCTACTTATTGGAGGTGATATCTGTATTACATCTATATATTGGAGGAGATATCTGTATTACATCTATATATTGGAGGAGATATCTGCATTACACCTTTCAGCAAAACTCGTTCATATGGGCTAACAAGTTTTGGTTTTCAAGTATGTTTTAGCATCGAGAGGGAGTACAGGAGGTATGTGAGTGGCTTATATACTTAAAAAATCATTACTGGTGGGAGACTATATTGCTTTGCATTAGTAAGCCTTTAGCTTACAGTTCTGGTTTATATAGGAGCGGGAGTATTAGTTAGCCTTTGGCTTACAGTTGAAGGTTTTTTTTTTTGTGTTTTTCGTGTTTTTCGTTTCACATGTTGCTGACAATCAAGCTATGATTTTATTCCCCATTGCAGTACACGCACCCAGACCATAGCCAGTGCCATTGCCACCGTGCCCGATCCCTCAGAACCGGGCAGGCTTTCCATCTCATTCGACGCTGGTGGGTAAAATATCTGCAATAACATACAGTTTAAAAACAATACTACGTATACTGTCTAAGTTTAAATTCATTTAGGAATTGAATGTTGATTAAGTTGATTATATACGTTGATGATTTTAGTTGGTCTTAACACAACCATTGCAAACTGCAAAGCTGTTCATATTGAATTTGTTTCAATACCTACCGACTAATTTAATCAGCCCCTTAGATCGACCAATGCAATATTTAGAATACATATATTTCAATTAACACTTTTTTTTAATGCCTAGAACTTAGGACCAGATATACTAGAACTTACATAAACTTAATGTTGAAATATAGTTCGTCATTGACTGTTGTTCGTTATCATGGATCAGGTTGGAAAATATCATTCGAAATACAGCATTTGCATCGCATAAAAACATATTGTAAGTAGGAACTTTTTAAATTGTGAATATTGCTTATTTCATTAAATACATAAGCAATCCTTTCTACTGTTGCGGCGGAAAAGTACTGGCTAAACGGTGTAAAAAGAGACAGAAATACAAATGAAACAGAAAACATTTGGTAGTCTCACCAGTTTGAAAGAGTAGTTTAGATAATTAAGTATGAAGGTTACGAACGATCAAAGACGGCGTCATTATATTAATAATGGATGAAACCTCAATCACATCATTAGAAGTCAGAAGACAGTGACAACAGTAAAAATTCATCAAGTAGATTTAGTAATCCAACAAAGAAATATTAATGTTAGTAAAACTGATAGCTAGAAGATTTGGGTATAGCGTTTTCATCGGCTGCAAAAAAGGTAAAAAATCTATCATAAGCTATGGAACCTAAGAAAAGAGACTAAGAAAAAGGAAAGTTAACGATCGTGATTGTAGATTCTCGACACGAAAACAAGGACATATGTTCACGATAATTTATCGAATTGGAGTATAATGAATTTCGTTTTTGTTTCGAATTGATGTTTCATTTCTGAAACTCCTGCAGACTCTGTAAGCTCATCGATGAACTGAGTGTTACCGTGCCAGATTCGTCAACGAAAGAGAATTATAATGTGTGATTGCTTCGCTTACAGATAGACCTTCGGGTTCTTACTTGGTATTGGACACCGACTATGACAATTATTCCCTTGTCTACTCATGTCAGAATTTCTTTGGCCTCTTCTCGGCAGGTAAGTATTTTTTTACAAGGCACAATCAGTTAACAGGTTTACACAGATGTGTTACTTGAAATTAACCACAAATGTATAATGAATGACGTTTTCATATATCCCATATGCTCGAATGCGGTTAAAAGTAAATCATTATCTTTTCTCCATCGTTCTTATTAAAGAAGTTTGTTTTGAAAGAAATTGGGTTAAATATTATTATGCAGAATGCTTGACTATAGTCTGAGTAAAGTATCTTGCTCAAAGATACAACACAGTCACGTGTCGTGACTCGAACCCGCAATCCTCCGGTCACGAGCCCGGCGTCCTACCACTAGACCACCGTGCCTCCACTTCATGCCTGTCATTTTGTTTGTAGAGTTTGCGTGGATTCTGAAGCGTAGCCGAGGTTACCAGTTGACAGCCAGTCAAGAGGCGAAACTCTACTCCAAACTAAATAAGTACAACATCAACCCAAGACGATTCGTCAGGGTCTTTGAACCATTTTGTTCTCAACGCTAATGGCACCGTCTGTCATTGACTCTATCTTAGTGACTAACTGGCGACTTTCAATCATGTGTGCTAAATGTGGGAGTACTCTATCTTCTTGATGTTTAATAAGACTTGGAATTATATCCATAGGTTTGAAGTACTAAGTTGTACTCAACAAACTCAGCTATCACTTTTTGTCATTTCAAAAACATACTTATATATACAGGAAATCTCTACACGTTATGTATACTTTTCTAAGACTGAATTGATTAAATATTACAGAAATATTAATGTCCCTTTACAATAAATATAGGAATTACACGGAGTTCCTCATTTACACAAGAATAGACATATGTTTAATACGTTAATATCTAAGATGGGCACCTTTGTTCTGTCGTCCCTGAAGTGTCATACATTGTCGTAATTCACCAAGAGCGAAGAGTTGGCCAATGTAAAACTCAGAATAATTAGCACAGATCATTGTAATCTTACTCTTTGAATGTATGGCTGTAAGTTATCCCTCCACATTAATTCTTACATTTTCTTCTCATTATTAAGTGTAAGACTCATTTTGAGAATATCCACATTTTTGTCACGCCTGCATTTTGTTAAGATTAATAAACATTGACGTACACACTTATCTTAACATTTTTGTTTGTTTTCTTAATTACTGTTAATACTTTCCTTTTTGTTAAGGATTGTCATAGCTTTTGATAATAGGAGAATTATTATAGCTACATGGGTTATAAGTAGAAATAACGATATTATCTGTGTAATATCCATGATCAGGGCCTGGGCTTACAGTGCACCCCATGAGCTGGAAAGCTTAAAGTTAATAAAGAATAAGATACAGTCTGTGTAATATCCATGATCTGGGCCTGGACTTACTATCCATGATCAGGGCCTGGAGTGACAGTGCCTAATGAACCACCTGTAATATCCATGATCAGGACCTGGGCTGACCGTGCCTTATGCACTGTTAAGTATATCCATTATCAGGGCCTGGGCTTGACACGAGTGTAGTTAATCTAAATACAGGCCTTTCTTACATAGATTTTCGTATTGGATAATGACCGGACATTACAGATAGCACTTTTTAGCTCACCTCGGCCGAAGGGCCATGTGACCGTATGCCATACTGCGGCGTCCGTCGTCCGTCGTCCGTCGTCCTGCGTCTGTCGTCCGTCAACTTTTTCTTTTGAACGACTTCTTCTGAAGAACTGTAGGACCTAGGGTCATGATATTTGGCCAGTAGGTACCTGGAATGAAGTGCTATAAACTCGCCTCATTAAAATTACCTTGACCTACTTTCAAGGTCACAGGGGTCAAATATGTTAAAAATTTCAAACAACAATATTCTAAGAACCATTTGGACTAGAGTCATGATACTTTGGTATGTTATGTAGACCAGCAGTTCGAATATTTTTCTCAGTTACAGTTATGAGGTCAAAGGTCAACTTTAAATGCTAGTCGGGGGTCACATGTCAACTTTGATTAAAAGCTTTAACAATCTTCTTCCCAACTTCCATTATGCCCAGGGTCATGATATTTGGCCAGTATGTACCTGGGATAGACTGCTATTAAGTTTCCTCATTAAAATGACCTTGACCTACTTTCAAGGTCACTGGGGTCAAATTTGTTAAAAACATCAAACAACAATATCCTAATAACCATTTCGACTAGAGTCATGATACTTGGGTAGGTTATGTAGAACAGCAGTGCAAATCTTTTTCTCTTAACAGTAATGAGGTCAAAGGTCTACTTTAAGTGCAAGTCGGGATCAAAGGTCAACATGGGTCAAAGGCTTTAACAATCTTCTTCTCAAATTCCATAAGGCTCAGGGTAATGATATTTGGCCAGTAGGTACCTGGAATGAAGTGCTATAAATTCTCCTCATTAAAATTACCTTGACCTACTTTCAAGGTCACAGGGGTCAAATATGTTAAAAACTTCAAACAACAATATCCTAAGAACCATTTGGACTAGAGTCATGATACTTGGGTATGTTATGTAAATCAGCTGTGTGAATTGTTTTCTTATTACAGTAATGAGGTCAAAGGTCAACTTTAAGTGCAAGTCGGGAGTCAAAGGTCAATATGGATTAAAAGCTTTAAAATTAAAATTTCAAGTTTCAAACAAAAATATCTTCACAATCGTTTAAGAGATGTTAGAATGTCTTGTGTTCTAATTACCAAATTTGGTCTTTAGTTACCTATATGTAAGTTGCATGTAACAAAAGAAACAGGTGAGCGATACAGGCTCTCTTGGCCTCTTGTTTCATTAACAGTGCTTATGGCATGCATAACTTATTAATAACACGATATAAACTATAAAAAATATCATCTATCCGACCATTCATCAATCCAGATAATTCGGCCCTCGTTTTCTTGTTCACAATCCCCTAAAGGTATATCACTGGAGGGTTTTACTATTATTTTAGTGGTGTTGCATGACCACTGCTATCTTAATATGAGAACAGTATGTCTCTCCACAATTAGTTAAAAGGGAATAGAGCTGCATGATACACTAATAACTTAAGATGATGTTTCATTTCATCGAATTAAGCTAGGTCGTAAAAATATCAGCCTTACTGCCATATTATCGACTAATTTAACGTCGCTTTACTCAATAAATAACTATAATACACGTTTAATATATACATATAAATTGGGGTCTTCGATTATGAATATATAACAGGGGTTGAAAGACAGGGTTACCATACCACCTGTAATGGAGCTTTTTTAAACATTAAAAGCATTTGGATCAATCTAAACATGATCAAAGAGTCATGTTTAATTAATGAAAACGTTTACCAGAATAATGGCCAATAGAAATAGACGTATGACACATTTTGTTGTCATCTTCATCAAATAGTAAAAAAAAATCAACATTTTTTTCCCATGTATAGGCCACTAATGTAACCTCTGTAACAATACAATGCAATTGGTATTTAAAAGGGCAGCGTGATTTAAAATGAGGTAACCTGAATAATTCCCACTTTGGTTGAAATGCATTTCAGTGTTATGGAAGTAAAATGTGTAGGATTTGATTGCTAAACCTTAAATGTTTATCCTAGCAACAACAAACAAAACCTCGTGACATAACAACGAACACTTTAAACATATCCTTTTGACAAACAAGAGGACATGTATCGCTCACCTGAATATGTTTAAAATAATTGGTATGAAGTAAAGGTATATCACTCCATGGTAGGTGCTGTAAGTACATATGAAATTTCAGAAAGATCCATCCAGTACTTGAGATTTAACAAATTTCAAACAGAGCCCCACCCCTATGCCCCGTAGGGGGGTCATACCCACCATTTATACAAAATTGAGTCCCCTTGGCCAAAGGATGCTCTAGACTAAATAAGGATAAAATCCCTTAATCACGATGGTCGAAGAAGGATTTTAAAGGTTTTACCTCCAAAGAATTTGGAAACAAATCCGTGAATAACGGATCGACGATGACATATAATTACCATAAGGTTGGGGAAGCAGGGATGTTACTATCAAGAAAGCGAACGTGTAAATAAAGAATGAGGTAAGTGGCTGATTTATACTGGTATCTTATGTCTGAAATGTATGACAAACAAATAGTCGATATATTTGGAAGTGAAATCGACAGACTTGGTAAGGTCTCGGTAACCTGATCTGATAAGATAAGCTCTTTCGAATTTCAGACTCATATGAAATCATCAACAAATTGGCCAAGAGAGGGCAGATTTGTTACCATTGGTTAACACCGAACCCCAAAAATATATTTTCAACCAGGAATTCAAACATTCTCAACATTTAATCCTCAATATTTCTTTAGGTCCTTGTCATATTTTCCACAAATTATGCTTCAAAAATAATTGATAACCATAGATTTGTGATGCAGTTTAACTGTCCCAGATAAGAAGCTCTTCGTATTAAAGAGAACGAAAGCGTTCCTTCGGTATGATATCAAGTATAGTAGTGTTCTGATTGGGAAAGTAAAATGTTCTGATAGACCCTTAATGTACTAAACCTTAATGTACTAAACCTTAATGTACTAAAACTTAAATTACTTAACCTTAATGTACTTAACCTTAATGTACTAAACCTTAATGTACTAAAACTTAAATTACTTAACCTTAATGTACTTAACCTTAATGTACTAAACCTTAATGTACTTAATCTTAATGTACTAAACCTTAATGTACTATGTACTAAACCTTAATGTACTAAACCTTAATGTACTAAACCTTAAGGTACTAAACTTTACTAAACCTTAATGTACTTAACCTTACTAAACCTTAATGTACTAAACCTTAATGTACTTAACCTTTATGTACTAAACCTTAATGTACTTAACATCAATGTACTAAACCTTTATGTACTTAACCTTAATGTACTAAACCTTTATGTACTTAACCTTAATGTACTAAACCTTAATGTACTTAATCTTAATGTACTAAACCTAAATGTACTAAACATTAATGTACTAAACCTTACTAAACCTTAATGTACTAAACCTTAATGTACTTAACCTTAATGTACTAAACCTTAATGTACTAAACCTTAATGTACTTAACCTTAATGTACTAAACCTTAATGTACTAAACCTTAATGTACTTAACCTTAATGTACTAAACCTTAATGTACTAAACCTTAATGTACTTAACCTTAATGTACTAAACCTTAATGTACTAAACCTTAATGTACTTAACCTTAATGTACTAAACCTTAATGTACTAAACCTTAATGTACTTAACCTTAATGTACTAAACCTTAATGTACTAAACCTTAATGTACTTAACCTTAATGTACTAAACCTTAATGTACTAAACCTTAATGTACTTAACCTTAATGTACTAAACCTTAATGTACTAAACCTTAATGTACTTAACCTTAATGTACTAAACCTTAATGTACTAAACCTTAATGTACTTAACCTTAATGTACTAAACCTTAATGTACTAAACCTTAATGTACTTAACCTTAATGTACTAAACCTTAATGTACTAAACCTTAATGTACTTAACCTTAATGTACTAAACCTTAATGTACTAAACCTTAATGTACTTAACCTTAATGTACTAAACCTTAATGTACTAAACCTTAATGTATTAAACCTTACTAAACCTTAATGTACTTAACCTTAATGTACTAAACCTTAATGTACCAAACCTTAATGTACTAAACCTTAATGTACTAAACCTTACTAAACCTTAATGTACTTAACCTTAATGTACTAAACCTTAATGTACTAAACCTTAATGTACTTAACCTTAATGTACTAAACCTTACTAAACCTTAATGTACTTAACCTTACTAAACCTTACTAAACCTTAATGTACTTAACCTTAATGTACTTAACCTTAATGTACTAAACCTTAATGTACTTAGAATGGTAGCAAGAAGTTCAAAATGACTTGCTTGATCAACTAGCAGAAAAAAAGTTATTTAAAGGAATTCTTGTGAAGTTTCGGGATAATACTTAAGTCCTTATCCTTATCATTGACCGGTATTCGGAAAGATTGCGATAAAATAAGAGATGGCTTCTTTTCCTGATGAATAAGTTGTCTCCCCTCATCTATAAATCTAACTTACGTAAAAGATATTAATATAGAAATAACAATAGATAAATTTCATAATGTCCTCAACCTGTGA